ACTAAAGGCTTGATTAATAGCAGTAGAACATTGTCAGAGATAATGCCAGAGGATGGGCCCCTCCGCCTGGGAAGCACTGGAAATCTGACCAAAGAGGAACTACTTTCTCAAATTAGAGTTGACCACGGTGGCATAAATGGAGTGAAGCTTGTGGGAGTAAAGTCTTCAGGATCTTCATTCATTGCTGCGGTACAACTCAAAATGAAAGTGAACAGCTGAAAATATCAATTAGTAATTGGAACTTGGAATGTACAAATTGTGAATTAAAATTGGAAGTCATAATATGTGAAATGGGACACAGAAAGATGGATATTGAAGGTAATAGTGAGCTAAAATGGATGGGTCTTGTCCATTTTGAATCAGGAAATCATTTGATTTACTATGCTGGGAATGACACATCAAGAGGAATTCTGTTGCATTCATCATCAAAATGGACATTTTAAGGTCTATCCTGAGGTACAGGGCTGTCTTTGATAGGATTGTGTCTATCCCCATATAAGGAAATTCAATCAATACAACTATTGTTCCACTTTATGCACCAACCACCAAAGGTAATGATGAAGAAATTAAAGAGTTCTACCAATATCCTCCATCTGAAACTGCAGATCAAACATGCAATCAAAATGCATTGATCATTATTGATAGAATTTTACAACACCAATGGATTGTTCATAGAAAATACCTTTTTCAAGAACCAAAACAGCAACTAGACACATGGACTTCTTCCGATGGAACACACGGAAGTCAAATCGACCACATCTATGGGAAGAGATGATGGAGAAACTCAGTCCCAACAGGGAAAACCAGGCCAAGACCTGACTATAGAAGAGCCCATCAATTACTCATATTCAGGTTGACGCTGAAGAAAATTGGTTCTAAAGTCCACAAGAGCCCAAATCTGATGAGTCTATCCCACCTGGATTTCAAGACCATCTCAAGGACAGATTAGCTTTATTGAACACGAATGACAGACTGACTTGATGAAGGGTGGGAGGACATCCAGAACAGCCATCATGAGGAAAGCAAAAGCCCTTTACAAAGTCTGCAAAGAAAGCAAAGGTTGGCATGGACGTCAGAGAGACTCTGACACTCGCTCTGAATCACAGAGCAGCTAAGGTCAATGAAAGACATGACAAGGTCAAGGAGAAAAATAGAGAGTTTCAAAGGGAAGCTAGAGAAGATAAGGTACATTATTATAATGAAATGTGCAAAGCCCTAGAATGAGAAGACCACAAAATAAGAGCCTTCTCAGCCTATCATAAACTGAAAGAACTAAAGGAAAAGTTAAAGCCTCAAGTGGCAATATGGAAAGGTGGTGGCCTCTGCACCGGAGTTGTGTCCTCTCACCATACTTGTTCAATCTGTAAAACTGGACTGTATGAAGAAGACTGTGGCATCGGGATTGGAGGAAGGCTTATCAATGCCCTGTGATATGCAAGTGATAGAGCTTTGCTTACTGAAAGTGAGGAGGAATTGAACCACTTGCTGATGAAGATCAAGGATTACAGCCTTCAGTATGAATTAAAACTCTATATAAGGGAAACCAAAGTCCCCACAACTGGTCTAGTAGGTAACATCATTGTAAATAGAGAAAAGATTGAAGTTGCCAAGGATTCGATCCTGCTTGGATCCACAGTCAATGCTCAGGAACCATCAGTTAAGAGATACAATGGCTCATTGCACTGGGAAAATCTGCTCCAAGACCTTTTTCTAGTGCTGAAAAGCAAGGATCTTCCTTTGGGGACTAAGATGCGCCTGACCCAAGCCATAGTATTTTCATGGCTCCTTATATGCATGTGAAAGTCGGACATTGAATAAGGAGGACCGAAGAACTGGAATTGGAATTGTGGTGCTGGCAAAGAGTATTGAGAATGCATGGACTGCCAAAGAACAACCAAATCTGTCTGAGAAGACGTGCAGCCACAATGCTCCTGACCAAGACGGCAAGGCTTCGTCTTCAGTACTTTGGACATGTCAAGAGGCAGCAGCCCCTGGAGAGGGATATGATGTTTAAAGTAGCAAGGCAGTGAAAAAGAGTAAGGCCTTTGACAAAATAGATGGACCCAGTGGCTGCATTTATGGCCTCAAACATCAGAACAATTGTGAGGAAGCCACGGAACCAGGCAGTGTTTATTTCTCTTATACCTAGGGTCACTATGTCGGAACCTATTAAATGGCACATAACAATAACAACAGCCTCTCTCTTACTATTTTACTCTTTCCAGTCATTGTTCATGCATCCTCTACCTGGAACTCTCCAGCCCCCTTTCTTGGCCTGATTCCGTTGAGGTATCATCTGTTCCAGGAAATGCTTCTTGAGTCACCCTCTTAGACTGAGGGTCTTTGTGAGGGTGCGCCTGAGAACATGTTTATATCAATCGTTTGACCAATAAACAGATATTGATATTATCTATTTATATGAT